TAAAATATAAATTAAACCAAGTTTTAAAAATATCTAAATTATTTATATACTGTATTATTATTTATAGATTACTCATGTGAGTAAGCGATATATATGAATTAGCTATAACATAGCTGATGGATCTAATATTGTTGAAGCGGCAAAAAATTTGGCTGAAACTTATTTGGCAAATATTGAACCAAGTAGAAATATAAAAGGTAAGTATAATGAAAAAAGCAATTAGAATGATATAAATTCAAAATCAAAAAAAAATAATCAATATTATGTCTGGAATATCTAAATATTATTAGTGGAAGTGGCCAGTGAACAGTATTTATGCTAGATATATTCAAGCACATTCTTTGTCACATCTTGGATCATATTTTCAGTTTTCTCCTGCAAAAATTGCTAAGCTATACAATGAAGAAATTGTTTATCCAGAACCAATAGTGTCTTCACATACTGAACCATCTAGGAGATAGACTATGCCAATAACAACCAGATCACTAGATGTGTAATGATTTTATGTTTTTAAATTGAAAAAATATACTAATTTTTTTTTAATCAAGACGTTGATGAACAATTGGAAATAGGTATGTTTAGTTAAAATAAAGACTAATTCAGAGACAACAAATAACTAATTTGTTATTAAGTTTTAATTAGACTTCTCATCTAATGTATTGCAACAAGAAAATAAAAATGATAAAAAAAATGAAAACCTAGGTAAGTATAAATTAAAATCTAAGTTTTGAAATAACTAAATATTATCTAATCATAAAATTGTATTAAAGTACAAATAGAGATAGACAGTGTTGATAATAATTACCCATTTGAGAGAGAATAGGCATTTAAAGAAAATCAAGTATTAGGTGGAAAAGGTGGAGGCAAGAGAATGAAGCAACAAGTCAAAGATATATTAGAATATATGTTCTTAAATGGTAATTCAAATCCTCAGGATAGTGTTCTGAGTTGTAAAAATTTTTCCAATCGATTAGTTGCCAACTATAGTTGCAACTAATCGATTTTCCTATCATGTGACTAAATTTGT